CAGACCGATGAAAGCGATTTATGAATTATGACGTTGTAATGGACTCAAGTGCCCAAATATATACATCAAATTTTATAAAAATTGATTCAGGCAATTAAAAGCTGATGGTCGGTTACACAGGCATACAGAAAGGTTGCATATCGCATAAGCCTCTTTTTGTTTCACCAACATAAGGAAAGTAGGCTAAAATATTTGAATAATCGTGGGAAAATTATGAATGCTTTTGTGGTTGTATTAAAATGCATTTTATATTATACTGTGCTATGAAATCTGTAGGGACCTGGTCATCTCCTTTGTCAACAGTAAAAGGTAAAGGTGTCCCTGTGTTTAACGAAATAAGCATTACGCCATTGAAGACGTATGGGGGAGTGGATGTGTAGACCCATATTTTCTTGACCTCGGCACTGGTTGGAGGTGAGTTGTCAGCTTCAGGCTCCGGCCGCTTTACCCCCGGAAAAGAGCCGCCGGTACCCATTGTGCAGGAGGTTGGATGGACACCAGAGCCAGTCTGGACGATATGGAGAAGTGAATATTCTTGACCATACCAGGACTCGAACTCCAACCTCTCGGTCGTCCAGCCCGTAGTCAGTCGCTATACCGACTGCACTATCCCGACTCCAAATTAAATTATTTTTTGTTCGGTAAACATCTTTTTATATTTGCATGGATACTAATTCTCACTGACATTCAATTTAAAACCGTGTTACTATTAGGGAAAAAAATTGTGTTTCTATTTTATGGTTCAGTGAATCTGGTTATTATCGACGCGATATATTTTATGCATTAATTATTGCTCGATTATTACACGCATGACATGCCATTAGCTGTGGCGGAGAAGTGTACATTCCATTGTAGGAATATTTCTATAGCTTGTTACTCGTAATTTCGGAGTTTGTGATGGGTCATGCTGTCCGCGACGTGTGTGCAAGGCAAAACAGCCGCACAAGTTTTATTTTCCACGATGTCTGAAATGTCTGTAGTACGTTAAATAAATTTCCCACAGTATTTCGAAAAAAAAAAGACGCATTACTTTATGGACTTATTTATTAAAGGAGAGAAGGTTAGCACTGCGCTTTTCGGACACAGCAATAATTTATAGCTTTTAAATATGTTTTTCTTTTAAATTCGCATAGTGAGGGGGTGGAGTCCAGCTGAGTTCACTCGGCACGTCGGCCACTGATTGGCTTACTGTATCTGCCCCAGGTGATTATGATGATGGAGAATTTGGTGGAATGAAGATTAGCAAGGGAAACCGAAGTACTCGGAGAAAACCCGCCCCAGCGCCACTTTGTTCACCACAAATCCCACTTGAATTTCACTTGAAAACACATCATTGCCTAGCAGTGGACGCCTGCTCATGTCGCTTATTGTTGTAGGCTCTATCTAGCAACGGTCTGTTTACCCGGAATCAATCTCCGTTCTAAAGTGTTTATCGAGTCATTGCCTAGCAATGGGTTTATACATCACAGTATTTTTATTTTAATTCGCTAAAATAAATTTTGCTGCAAAAGAATTATTTTGGTAAGTCATAAACTGACGTAACAACATTTTAATGTTATTTCTGTTGGTGTAAGACAGATTAAATTCCGTTTGTCCTGTTAGAACCTTTGGATATTGTAAAGGGTAAACGTTTCAATGATATGAAGTTAGCGCTCCCAGTTAGTAATCTCTAAGATTAATTATAGGAATGTACACGCTTACTTCTGCTATTATATGACTGTTTTGCAATAATATCACGGTAACTCGTTACATATTGAGAGATTATGTAGTTGTAATCCTTCTTTGCATATGCCTTTACATCTAACAAGGCTGTCGCTTTATCGCTGACAACTTGGTAGTAAAGATTTCTTTTTCATGTCTAGTTTCAGTGTTGCATTAAGGATGCGCTGTATAAAGCCCTCCTCCCCATAACCACACAACCACGATCAGACTGATTACACAGAAATTATTGCTCCACATAGTAAAGTAGTTGGTTTGGAGACAGAACATTATGGACTTTTCCCACCTGTGTAGATCAACCAAGCAGGAAACCAATGCTTCCACCTGCGGAGATGACACAAACACTTCATCTTTGTCCATTCTCTTTCCTCTAATTGCGAATCCTTAATTACTTAATCCGCTCCTCTTATACCTTGTGGTGTCGATGTTTTTTTTTTTCATTTTGGTCGTTTTACAGACGGTAGGACTCTTTGGACAAGTGATCAGCTCGTCGCAAGGCCTCTACCTAAACACAAGGCAACACAAACACAGAATAAACACATACACATACCAAACATCCATGCCTTATATGGGATTCGAACCCACGATCCCGGCTTCCGAGCGAGCGAAGACAGTGCATACCTTAGACCCGGTCGGTTACCGCGACCGGCATTGCGAATATTAATCTTCTATGCCCTTATGTACTCTTTGTGAATATTGGTTAGTACCTCTGTGTCATGTCTATTCAAATTTAGAAATATTATGTTTAGTAATTTTTTTTTCCGTTTTGCTGTTTCCTGACGAATGGAACGATCATCTCTTATGATTATTGATTTTACCTGAATGTAATTACCACATCAATTTCTTGTTTCACACCCCAGAAAACTGATTGCGCTCTTTATACCACAGGTTATATATTAGGCATATTACTGTGGTCTCCCACAGGATATCGGGCTGTTTGTTGAAGCTGCATTAGCTCCAACGGGTGCGATGAATCCTACCGTATCGACACTGCTAACAGTGATAAAGATTTATATGTAGGTCATTGTCTGCCTTAATGTACTCTACGTTTCGTGACGTTGATATATAAACAGTTTCAATTTAATATTTAAAAAGTTAAATGCGTGGATGGTTATTTACTGTACTTAAATATAACGATTGTTTTTGTGAAAAGTTCTCTTCTGCGATACAACCAAGCAAAAGGGAATTGGGAGGAGTATACAGAACATATGAGACTGAAGGTAAATTGGGTTAAAAAAGGTAAAGTTGTCCCTTTAACAGACCGTCGAGGCTCCAATATTTTCTAGACAATCGGCTCGCAGATGGTGGTGAGATTATCAGCCTTACGCGCCGGCCGCCCTTTACCTCCAGGAAGATTTTTGGTACTCATTTCTGTTAGACGTAGAATCGACCCCAGGGCCATAGTGCAGCTGGAAGGATTAGGTCAATTGAAAAATCTAATGACCTCATCGGGAATCGAATCTTCGATCTTTCGGCTTATTCAATGGTAGTGAGAAGTTTTTTTTTTTTTTGTGAATACACG